GCTGCCAATTAACGAACCCCTCAATCTTTTTCCTTCTCTTTCTTCTCACATGTCATGAGTAGGCCCTCTATTAATTTTAAGTCGTCCCCTCATCTGTCGAATGAATGGTTTTGATTTTTCAGAAAACTTTATATTATTAGGCCTAAATGAATATCCAGTTATAGAGTATGCACAACAATAAAATAAATCCGTGTTTATGCTTCTCAAAATTTTCCACATTCCCTATATTTTTTCTTTTGCTTCTACCTCTCCTCCCTCTGTTTCTTCGCATCTTCAAATTAATCGAACTCGCTTGCAGTCTTTCAAATCTCTCTCTTTAATCCATACGCACAAATACTCGCAAGCAAGAATTTAGAAATGATGCCAAGAGCATTATTAAGATTTAGTAGTAGTAGTATAGTTGGGGTTATGGGTCTTGTTGTACTTACTCTGTTTCCTGAAGCTTATATTGCTCACAAGCAGTGCTCCCTTTCTTACGGAAACATCGGTAACATCAGCTACCCCTTTCACTTGAGAGGCCATCCTCGTAGCTGCGGCGACGGTCACCACCGACTGGATTGTGAGAACAATCGCACCACTGTGGAGTTGGCTGGAGTCAAATACTATGTACAAGAGATCTCTTATAGATACCAAATAATAACATTAGTGGATGTCAATATAAACGAAGATTACTGCTCCTTTCCTCGCAATTCCTTCCCATTCAATTACCCAGAAATGTATATGACATTGGGATCTCCTATGATATATCTTGTGAGTTGTGCAAGCCCAGTGAATTCTTCAAACTACGTAGATTTCTCTTCTTGCGTCAACAGAAGCAGCAATTCTTCCTCCTCCAAAACAAAGTCATCATATTTTGTCCTTAATGTTTCGAGTTCATTCGATTTCCATGACTCCTGTACCATCAACCTTGAGTATCCGTTCATTGAGGTACTCCAATTGGACCTCACTATTTCTCAAATTCATCAGGAGTTGCTTCGAGGGTTTGAGCTTTACTTTTACCTTCCTTCGGTTTCAAATTTACAGCAGAGGTATGTACTGTGGAGGTATCAAATGAACATAATCACACCAAAAAACAAATTCTATTTTAGGGAGCACCGAATTGATTTGGTGTTAAAAGGAAATTTAGTTAAAATTTTGAACTAAATTTTCTCTAATCTCAAACCCAACAAAAATGTATTCTTATTTCTTAGTGAGTTTTATGCCAGTGTTTGTGTATAGGCTTTTGCTTTTGCGGATAATACTAATTTCACCCCACTCCATTGGCTGAATGCAGGTTACAGCAATTTTGGTTTGATAATCAAAGTAAGGATATGCCATTCGGTCAATTTCTTTTCTATACTTAAATTTAATTTTCTTGTATACCTCATTTTGATATTGTCACTTTTTTTTCTTTCTTTCTGGATGATTCGTTTATCAGAGCAACTAATCATCACGATAAGTAACATAGGTGAGTTCATCTCTTGCTCTCTCGCATGTTAGCTTGACTAATTAAGTAAACATGCATGTACTAATATCTAATCTCTATCCATCCATCTGTCTTTTAGGAGCGTATATCATATTAAGGATTTCAATTGGGGGGTTGTGCTTAATTATATTGTTGTGCTTGATCATTCTCTTGTCTTATAATTGAACTACATGTACTAATATTTATATTCTCTCATTCTCTCAGGAGTGTACATCGTGTTGAAGGTTTCAATTGGCTTGTTATGCTTGATTATATTGCTGGCAAATAGATTTCGCCGAAGACACTTGTCCATCGATGATACCATTGAAAATTTTCTCCAGAGTCAAAATAACTTCATGCCAATTAGGTACTCCTATTCAGATATAAAGAAGATGACGAAAAGTTTCAGGGATAAGTTGGGTCAAGGTGGATATGGGTCGGTGTTCAAAGGCAAGCTCCGAAGTGGTGATCTTGTGGCAGTAAAAGTATTAAACATGTCGAAAGGTAAAGGGCAAGATTTCATCAGTGAAGTGGCCACAATCGGAAGGATTCATCATATTAATGTGGTGCGAATGATTGGATTTTGTGCAGAGAGATCTAAAAGAGCTCTCGTATATGACTTCATGCCTAACGGATCTCTTGATAAGTTTATTTTCTCAGGAGCAGAGAAGAATCTACCCCACATCAGTTGGGAGAATTGCAGTTGGAGTGGCTCGAGGGATTGAATATTTGCACCGAGGCTGTGACATGCAAATTTTACATTTTGATATCAAGCCTCATAACATTCTTCTTGACGAAGACTTCGTCCCAAAAGTTTCAGACTTTGGCCTTGCAAAATTGTACCCCACAGATGATAGTATCGTCTCTCTCACTGCAGCAAGGGGTACGCTTGGATATATTGCTCCAGAGTTGTTCTATAAGAACATTGGAGGTGTGTCATATAAGGCTGACGTGTATAGCTTTGGTATGCTGTTGATGGAAATGGTCGGGAAACGGAAAAATGTAAATCCACATGCAGAGCACACAAGTCAAATATACTTTCCATATTGGCTTTATGACCAAATCAATCAAGGTGAGGACTTGCAGTTGGGAGATGATGCCAATGAAGAAGAAAAAAGTTGTGCAAGGAAGATGATCATAGCTGCATTGTGGTGCATACAACTAAAGCCCGTGGATCGCCCCTCGATGAGTGAAGTCCTGCAAATGCTAGAAGGGGAGGAGGAGCTACTGCAAGTGCCTCCCAAACCTTTCCTTCATTCCAATGATATGTCAGTGGAGGATCAAGCCGACAACCACCCAACAGGCATACCAACTTCATCCCATGCTGTTATGAGCATAACCATGGATGACATGTTAAGATAGTATTGTTTCATATTTTTCGATATAATCACTTTGTTATGTTGAATTGGTAACCTTTTGGATTAAGCATGTCAAATTTTGTAGGTAAATTCTGTTCATCTTATGAATAATAAAAGGACAATACTTCTCTTCTAGTCACTCCTAATTTGGCTCAATTATACATAAACATGTCTTCTTTTATTGTAAATTAATAAAAAAAGTAAATACATAGAATGACTTTTGGGTAAAACAGTCCAGCGCCAACTGGCCTCCAAGCTTTTACGCCCTCTTAGCTTTCCTTCTCCCTTTGCCGCTCCAATGCACATCACCACCAACCACCATGGCTGCCATACCCTCCACACTCTTGCACTCTTTTTTGTTTTCTTTCCCTTTATAAAATGATAATTTGTTTCCCTTGAAAAAACAATAGTAGTCTTATTTATTGTAATATAATATACTATTATAATAAAGACATTATTGAATTTTTATACCAAAGTCACCTTCCAATACCTACCGAACAAATTTAGGGGATATTAAATTAGTATTTATAATGTATGGTGATTTGCTAACCCTCCAAAAATGTCACTGTAATTAACACTTTAATTTATCTTCCTTTGCTTGACTTTGATTTTTCAAAATACTTCCAACTTTTTTTTTATTTTTTTTTAATTTTTAGTTAGCACCAAGAACTCACCTAGGCAGGCCCCTTCGAGACCCACCTTAGGCTACAAACCAGGGTGTGGAGAGCCTCGTCCCAAAGATACATCAGGTAAAAATTGGAAAACTTGGTAGGAAAATACTTCCAACTTGCTATCATACTTTCCATACTATTTTTTTTTTTTTTTTTTGTTTTGGCTTATTTCTTTCCTTCGATTCTTCACATTCCCTAAATTGACCAAAAATAAATAAGGGGTGCATGACTGATTCTTTTCCTTTTTTTTTTTTTACTTGGCAAGTCCCGCGTTCAAAATTCCTCTTGACTTTTCCAAATTCAATAGACATTTTAGGTGAATATTAAACGGTTACAAGAAGCACACATTAGCTTTTCTTTCCTTATTGTTAAGATAATAACCTTTTTTTCTAAACTTTCTTTGGTCAAATCAAGTCTTACAATTGTTTATAGAAATAGTACAATGATATTTGTCAAAGTGGGAGACTTCAAATTTAAGCTCTTGAAACTTAAATAAATTAAAGTAGAATAATATATATCTATATAATGAAGAGGGTAAAAAAAAAAAAAAAAAAAAAAAAACAAAAAAAAAAAAGAAAAAAAGAAAAAAAGAAACAGACCAAATATACACACGAGATACACATCTTGTTTCAACACATGGTAGGTGTAAATTAATTTCAATTGGTAAGAGTTTTGGCCACTTTTAATATACAAAATTAAAATAATAAATTATTATATTAAAAATTTTAATTTTTTATATTAAATATCCATAACTCAAATATTGCAACCTAAGAGTAATTCTTTGAGAAGTAAGACCAATCTTAATTATTCTTGTCACCAAATAATTTGTTATTGAATCTCAATTGTACGGTTTGTTAGCTAATGAAGAGTATTAACCATTATATATATAATTTTTATTTTTTTACTAAAGGTACTATTTCGTAATTTAAACCAATCAATACACTTTAACAAGTCAGGATTCACCAGAAAATTAGGTAAGGAGAACAATAGTGAAGGAGGGACATTGCTTTTGCTCACATTTATATTAAATTGCTAACTCCGGCAGAACAAGGTCACAAAACAGCAATATTTGTTTTGCTTGAAGGCTCAGCCTTGGCCAATCTAAACACAAATTTAAGACTTTAAACCATAACATGTGAGTAGTTAAGAAGTTTGAATATTAGTAAATATATATATATATATATATATATATAATAATCACAGGTCTTTCTTCATCCACAGTAAGATAAACAGTTTTTTATTACATACTTTCTACCACAGTTATCTTTCTATTTCTACCACAGTTATCTTTCTATTACGGTTATTTTAAAACCGTGATAGAAAAGAATTACTATCACAGTTTTTCATTAAAATAATCGTGATAAAAAGTGAATTTATTTCATTCGAATTTAGGTGAGTTTTATTATCGCTCTTTTTACCATGGTTAGTGAAAAATTGTGATAAAAAGTGAATTATTTAAAATATATATATATATATATATATATATATATATACGAAAATATATATACTCACACACGCACAGACCACACACGTACAATTTTAGGGCAAATCATTTCAGCCTCCCCCAATCGCCTCAATCTCTGTTCTCGTTCTCAACTCTGGACTTGCCCTCTCTCTTTCTCTGCCACTGCAAACTACAAAATCTACAAGAATCAGAAGTTCAAAACCCATATAATTCAGTTTATCTATCTGTCTGCAAGAATCAAAATTTCAAAACCTATTACCTATATAAAAACCCATATCGGCATATCATTTCAGATTGTTCAAAAAATCAAAACCCATATCCTTCAGTTTCCATCGCCGGCCGCTGTTCTAGTTCGGGTTCGCCTTTCGCAAGCTTCAGCCGCTGGCCCGCTGTCTGTCAACTCTCAAGCCCCTCTCTCTGCAACTGCTTACTGGTAAGTCATTTCTTCAATTATTCAATATAAATATTTTTAAGGAAAATCATTTCAGCCTCCCCAATCGCCTCCATCTCTATTCTCGTTCTCGACTCTGAACATGCCCTCTCTCTCTCTTTCTCTGCAACTGCAAACTACAAAATCTACAAGAATCAGAAGTTCAAAACCCATGTATTTCAGTTTATCTATCTGTCTTCAAGAATCAAAATTTCAAAACCTATTACCTATATCAAAACCCATATCGGCATATCATTTCAGATTGTTCAAAAAATCAAACTCCCCAATCGCCTCCATCTTTTTTATTTATTTTTTTGTTGTCAATTATGTCTACAAGAAAATTTGAATCTGGGCATGAAAAAAGAAAAAAATGGTTACATGAATGAGGACATTTTCGTACTTCAGAAATGGAGATTAGATTATATGCTTACATGAATGTGGTTCCCAATTTTGTTGCTCAGCAAATGGAGGAAAACAAATTAAACAAAAATTCAGAATGTTATTTGGACAAATTAACTGAAAGAAAATTGAGTTGTTGTATTGGCCAGTGGACTAAGTTTGTGGAGTTCATTGTTCTATGAGGTCTTGAATGATTAACAAATTAAGTTCTAAAATTTTATTTTATTTTATTTTTTTGTCACTATATTTTCGGAGCTCGTTAATGGATTATTGTGGTGCAAGAGAAGTAATTCTTGGATTTTTGCAGGAGGAAATTCATGAGTTGCTTCTGAGTTTTGCTGAAGCTGGAGCCATAGTTGTGAGACTTAAAGGAGGTGATCCACTGGTGAGTTTTCATGTGAAAACTGTTAGAACAAAAACTTCTTAGCAAGAAACTTAAACAAGCAGGATTAAAAAAATATATATAGAAACTTCAACAAGCTGTACCTTAGAAATGTCAACTTTGTTTTTTTATAATAAAAATTAGTTTTTTTGTCCTGAATTTCTGTGGGTGTATCGGGTGTTTGGGAGGTGGGGAGGAGATGGATTTCTTGCAACAACAGGGGATTGAAGTGCAAGTCATTCCAGGTACGATTGTTTGACAGAGTACTAGTCCATCATTAGAATTAAACTCTTTAGGCTTTGTTTTTCCAATTTTAATTCGACAATGAAATTTCCTCATAATATATTTAGTCTTCATTGCAATGGGATGATTTTAAGGTCCTTTGATTGGCATTGTTTGGAAGAGATCGAGTGATGGAATACCTTGATTTCCTTTATCACATAGAAAATTTACTGTTCATGAAGCAGACTAAAAGGGCGAAAGAAAATAAAATGGGCAGAAAAACAAACAAATATGAAAGAGTCACATTAATATATAGGAACGACTTCATTAAAGTGAAAAATGTTGTGACCGATGATCAAATATACTATGCAAACATATCCACATACGCTTTTCTCAAGATGCCTTGAGATTTTCGTTCTCTATGTTCTCATGTACAAAACAATCCGTGCATTGTTCTTTGACAAGTAGCATCATGTTGCCATCAATAGAAAAATGAGAGACAAGACAAATCATGTTATCCAAAGTGAAGAGAGTACAAGAAAAAAGAAGTATATGGAAGTTGATACTCTTTGTAAATGCCATCACACAACATGCATGACATTTTTTACTATGAAATATATAAGGGTGGACTCTCCATACGACCCCAATGTCACCATACGAGGATGGAGAAGATGGATGAAACTATATCCTACCCAAAACATTTTTCAGTATGGCCTTCCTATTTGTCCTAATGCCGTTGTTGTTTCTTCTGGCTGATTTTGTGTTGTTTCTTTTGTTAAATTACTTTTCTTATTTACATGGAATCTCTTGTACCTTTCATTGTACCTGTGTGACTACGATTTTGCACATGTATGGATATGGCCATAGAACATGTGTTGACACAATGTCCAATTAGACAGGGGATGCCCTTCTCTTAACTTTTATGTGTGGTGATGTAAGAAGAAAAAACTCAAATTTGATGTGGGAGAATGTTTGATATTTTTGGGATAAATGGAATTCCCTTTCTTCATCTGTATTCATCCATTTAAGTTTTAACTAAGTTTATCCTTAAAGAACATAATATATTATAGTATTACATAATATATAATTTATTCAAATATTTAGGATGTCTTTATGCAATGGTACCCAACTTTGCAACACATTTAGAGCCAAGTCCTTGTATTGTGAGATTTAGTATTGAGGAGGTTTGACACTTAGATACACATCCACACTCGATACACATACCTGATTCCATGTGGTTAGCCTTGGGGAGGTATTTATATAATTCATATCCTCAATGCTTTGCAGGTATCACTGCCACTTCAGGAATAACAGCTGAACTGGGGATCCCTTTAACCCACCGTGGTGTTGCAAATAGTGTTGGATTTCTCACGGGCCACTCAAGAAATGGAGGAACAGACCCCCTGTTTGTTGCAGAAAATGTAGCGGACCCTGATTCAACTTTGGTTGTTTATATGGGTTTGTCAACTCTCCCTTCCCTTGCACAAAAGTTGATACACCACGGTTTGCCACCCAATACACCAGCTGCTGCAGTTGAGCAAGGGACCACGCCTGAACAACACATTGTAAGCAAACATAATCCTCAACCTATGTTAATTTTTCTGTGTTTAATGCTAAATTTTTATATTTTTTTCACCAAGTGTCGCAGATTTCAACTTTTTTGTCTTTCATTTTAATTTCATAGCTGAGTGCATAGTCAATGTATCTGGTGCAAGTCTAACTCTTAAAAACACAAGTCTATGGGATTATGGTCTCCATGGTTGAGAAAAAACTGAGAAAGCCTAGTTTGAGTTAAAGGGAGTGATAATGGTACAATTTGAGGAAAATAAATAGCTGCATTCATAAGCTTGCTATAATATGCTGCCAATAAACATTGGTCAATTTCTAGCAAACTATGAGAGGACCAAAAAGCTTATGATCACCAATTACCAAGACAGTGAGTAACAAGTGATGATTTAAAAAAAAAAAATACACACTAGCATATGATATATCAGTTTAACATCCAAAGTCATAGAAAGGGAAGGGTGTGACAGATTATCCAAAAACAAAACCAACCTTTGATTTTGTTAACCAACCACTTGCTTCCTCCTTCAATACTATTTGACAAGGACTATTCATTGAAAGAAAAAGGTCAGTAGTAAAATGTTGCATAACGCATGCAAAACAAAGCAGTGCAGGCATAGCAAAATATCAATGAGCTGCCACATGTTCACATGCATTGACACATTAAATATGAGAACCGAATAAATAAGGGGTTCATGAGAACTGCCGAGGACGTGAAACGATTCCATAGTTTTTTATTACATGTGACTTCAACTTCAATTAAATTGATACAATTTTCAAGAATACTTCAAGTGATGCAACTATTCTTATCAATAATTCTTATCAAAATTGAGTTTTTGGGTGAGTTGTGGCCACATTATGATTTGGATTTGTGGTTTCTTTAGGTGCGGACATATTTCACTAAGTTGTGTTCTTATAAAATTAAAATCGTGTGCACACATACATAATTTTAGCAACTTTACAACTTGCTTTACGTTCTCTTACTTCAACTATTACATTTTGTAAGTCAAAGCTAGGATTGAGGGATTGTGGTTCCCAATACTTTTTTTGTTACCATTATATTTTTTGTATGGCTCAATAGAAGTTGCATATATTGAAGAGAGAGACTAAAACAGAGTAAGATGATATGAAGAATTTTTGTTTTATTTTGGTTAAGTAAAGGTATAAGGTATGGATCATGTATTACTTTGAAATTTGTATATATTTTTGTATAAAAACATGATTTGGAATTTGTTATATAAATATGATGTTATTGGCAGTTGTAAGTTATTTTGGTTATGATGTTATTTTTTATTTATAGGGTTTGCTTCAGGAGTCCTTGCAAGGCTAGTAGTAGGGCAAAAAAAAGGCCTCATAGGGGGCTGTACGCTATTTTAAAAAAAAAATTATATAATACTTTTAATCACGGTTCTGCACCATGGTAAAAAGCGTTTTACACCGTGATAAAAAAAACTGTTTTTCTTGTAGTGATTATTGTGGTATAGTATCTAGCTGAGGAATGAACAAAGATTGAATCAAATGGGTCCCACATTTCTTGACTCTTCATCCTCGAGGCTTTAAGAATTAGGTAAGGGGATAACCATCCATACATGGAATCAATAGAAGAATATTACACTATCATGAAGTCAAAATCATGAAACAACAAAAAAATAAGACGACTGTACAAACTATTTCTAAAAAATAAACTTACTTTTTACTTTGGACCACACAATAATTTATATTACTGTAATGACCCAAAACACTATTATTGTAACATAAAAACTTTAAAGCATGAAGTAAATCTAATATATGGAAAGACCCTTAAATTAAAATTATTATTATTTTACAGTAGATTAATATAGACTTATAGACTTCTTTAGACAAGAGATCTTATATAAATTTCATTTAACGAAATAGTATAGCTCTGATGCCAAAAATAAATCGAATTCATACCAAGCTAGAAGCATGCAATAATCATAGAAATAAATTCAACAATTAAATCACATAAATGACTCCTGAACTTAATAATGCAATAATCATAGAAATGATTTTTGAGTCCCAAAACAGGTACGATTGTTCCTCTCTTTCCAAATAAAATAAATTGTGGTAGAGAAGCAAAGTTTGATTATAATGGCCTCAATCGATTTACACTCCGCATTCCAAACTGTTCCGATCCATTGGCCCATGAACAGAAAGCTGCGATCACCACAATACACACCATATTTGTGCTGAACATAATACCAAATAGATGAAGAGAAGCCGCACTTAAAGAATAAGTGCTCATGGGTCTCAACCTCATTCCTACAAAGAGAGCATAGGTTATGATTATCCATGTTCACCTAGAATGCCTTATCTCTAGTATAAAGTCTGCAATTCAGAGCACCTAGGGATATGTTTGGGGAACCATATAATATGGTTCCATATAGGCGGGTGTAGGTGGTAGGAGAGCATTGTAAGTGTGCTTCAGATTGAATTTGCCTGTAAGAGAAAGTGTCCACACTGCCCTGTCCTTGTTTCCAACATTTATAGGAGGGATGGTTTCAGTAACACCAATAATGATCGTGAAATGGTTTGAGATTCTCCATTGTCCATGTCTGATCAAACAGCTGACCTTGGATTTGATATCCCATTGGTGGTTAGAGATGATTGTAGAATCAACTCTATTCTCAATAGGTCCAGAAGGTAACCAGTAGTCATCCCTTAAGGAAGTGTCAATACCATTCCCTATATGGTGTTTGATAAAAGGTCTGGCCATGCCCCTAAGCTTGAGAAACCGTTTCCAATTACAAGAGCTAAGTTGGCTGGCTTTAATCTTCCATAAGCTTCCACCTTTGATTGAGTTATAGTGGACCCAATCATACCAGAGGGATTGGCCATTATCATTAAAGAGATTCCAAATGTGCTTAAGGATAGAAATCCTATTAAGGGTAGCAATGTTAGGGAGGCCAAGACCACCATAATTTTTAGGCTTGCACACTGCATACCAATTAATCTTTGTTTTAGTGTCCTTCATCTCCTGGCCAGTTCATAGGAAGTTCTTCAAAACACAATTAATTTGCTTGGTCACTTGAAAGAGGTAATACAATGAGATTGCCCCAATAGACATGAATGTTGATCTAGAATTGATCTAATAAGCTGTAATCTTCCATTCTCTATTTCCAATGGGATGCCAACTGTGAAGATGTTGCTCTTGTTCAGGTTAGGCTTGAGTCCAGACATAATGGAAAACTTGTTGATACTGTTAAGCAACACCTCAAGGGAGCACCATTACAAAAAAGCATAAGGTCATCAACAAAACATAAGTTAGAAATTTGATTACTCTTGCATCTCCAATGGTACTTGAAATGGGGTCCTCAGTAATTGCTTTATTGATAATTGATGAGAAAACAACCATCACAATCACAAAAAAGAAGGGTGAAAAGGGATCTCCCTGTCTAAGTCCTTTAGATCCTGTGAAGAAACCTTCAAGTTCTCCATTGATAGAGACTGAGTTTTCTTCTAGTCGTTTAAGGGAAGAGTAAATAGTATTAAATTCTATCCTATTCGTAAAACTATTTAAAACCTTTGTTGCTTAACTTCTAAAATATTTTCAAAAAATATGCAATCAAACAAAAGATAGATTTTACAATTTTTGATAAGATAGATTTTACAATTTTTGATGAACTTTGGGGTCTTCTTACAAATCTTTCTTATAAAAGGAGTTCAATTAGAAAGTCTCCATTATTAGTTCATGATATAATAAATACAAAAACTTTTCTCATGACTTTGTAAAAGATGTTTGCTATCACCACTTATATGTAAAAATTCCTTAGGTATAAGATGTGTTTGAATATTAGTAATATTGACTAGTGCGCGTGTTACTCTTTTGTTTGATTAGAAAGCTTTTCTTGGAAATTCATATAATTAAGCAAACGGTTTAAAATGTTTCATCGATCATGCCATGTTGTGCACGTAGTGCATGTTGTATACATGTAAGCCTTATGTTTAATTACTTATAAAGGCAACGCGTGTGTCTCTGCGTCTGTGTGTGTGTGTGTGTGTGTGTGTATATCATCTCAATCTTTTGAGTTTTGACTAGGTGCTAACATAATTGTGTTTGACAACACATGCTCGAATATATATATATATATATATATATATATATATATATATCTAACAATATGTTGAATAAAAATACTGAGGAACTTGTCAAATACATGAATAAACTCCACTTTAAACATAAAATTAAGACTTTAAATCATTTGATACGTTTTCATAAAAAGACCTAATTACCCTTGAGGCCCTTTATTGAACCAAACTTATTTGTACAGAGAGGTGAAGATATTTATGTGACGGCTCAAGTTTTGTAAACCCGGTGCGTCAGTGATGACCAAAAGATGACTCGATAATGGATCCGAAATGCGGAAGCGAAAGGTGAAACAACGGTATCTAGAGATACAATGTGTCTCTAAGACACCAATGTGACCCTCAATGAGGTCACGGAACCCAAAGGAAATAAATGTAGAAGTGTCGTTTCAAAAACGGACAAAAAGAACCTAGGGGCAAAATGGTCATTTTGCAAAAAGTGGATTCAGGTGCTATCGAGCACATCGCTGGAAAGAAAATGACAAATTAGTCAAGCTAAAAAAAAAGTTTACTCAATTTGGAGTCCGGACGGGGGAGAAAAACAAAAATGATGTTGTGGCGGGCCCGACGAGGACAACCTACCACTGCTGCAACTGAGAGTAAAAACGGGCATCTAAACGGACTTTTTTGGAAAAACTCAAAGAAGAAACCCCCCCTAAAATCAAGTTTCCAAACCCGATTGTGGACGGAAACAAAAAAAATGCATTGTAAAATGCTCAGAATACTCCCAAGAAAATCAGGTCAAGAGGAAAAAAACTAATTTGAGCTACTGCCCAAGTTTTGGAAATAGGGCTTCGGGAGGTTTTTAAATTGCCTAAATTAAAAATGCAATCTTAAAATGCATCCACAAGACCTCCGGAAGTTTCAGATCGGTCGTGACGATTTTAAAAAAAAAAGTCAATGAATAGTACCAACTACATTTGTATTAAAAATTTGCAAAACCTGGCAGCAAGGATTTTTTGGAACAATATTGATTTTTGAGGGCCAAGATGATGTTTTCTGGAAAAAAACACAAAGAAGAAACCCCCTCCCCTCAAAATCAAGTTTTCTATGTGATTCGCGAGGAAAAATAAAAAAAACTCATTTTGAAATACCCGAAATGCCCCTGTAACAGAATAGGGTCAAACAAAAAAATATGCAACTTTAGGTTTTTGTTTCATCAAGGAAGGTATTGTTTGCCAAAGTGAGCATGTAAGTGTATGTAATATGATAAAATAGATGTGCTACAATGGCCTATGGCCTCATTACAATACATTTACAACATTTGACATGTTAAACCTCCAAGTTAGAAAAATTACATTTCATAGACAAATCATGAACATGCTAACACTTGCATATGAACAATAATGCTTCTAAAGAAGCTCAACTCAGCAAATCACCCAAGCAATTGCAATTTCCAATCTTGTATCCTGTACCTGAAATATGCTCCAGTATCGTAGGGGTGAGTAACATAAAGCCACTCGTAGGAAATGAGCATGCATCGACCTAAAGTTTTACAAGTTGCATAATTTAATTATTGTGGTTCATTCCACCTAACGTCTATGTCAAGGTGAGACTCAGGGAGCATCCTAGCTACCTAAGATCATTTCTAGCATCAATCACCTCATTCATGCAATTTTAACAACATAGGATCTTGCTTACACAAAGTAACAACATAGGAGCATGCTTACACAAAGCAACAATATAGTGGTTCTCAAGGTTATCAACTTGAAGTCTAAAATGCAACATCAACTAAATATAACAATTTAGCATAATTAGAATATCTAATACCACATATCAATACATAGATTCTCTAAGTTATCAACTAGAAATCTAAAAGTGTGAAATCAACTAAATATAACAATTTAGTATAGATGTACTTAATAACATCAAATCGTCGATAGCCAAAATCACAAGTCATAATATAAACATGATTGCAAACTTGGAATTGAATGCGAAAATAAATAGTGGAAGACTTAGATATCACGTCTCAGACTAAACCAAGAACAAATTGGTTATTCCGGGCATTAACCCGCTGGGAAAACCACCCTAGTGTGCACTATCTCAATTGGGGAGAACTCATACCTCTCGCACTAAAGCCGAACTTTAGCCATATCACAGTAACAATGTCCCAAGACTCCAAAATAATTAATTTAACAACTTATATACGTATTAAACAGTACACG